TTCCATCAGACACGATCTATAACTCTTTTGGATATTATTGTCAAAGAGCATTTTATTTTTCAAAGTTGTGGTTGCATTTATTTAAAAGAGTATTTATTTTTCAAAGTTGTGGTTGCCTCTATTTATATGAGCATTTTATTTTATTTTTAAGTTATGGTTGCCTCTATTTAGAGGAGCATTTTATTTTTTTAAAGTTGTGTTTGCCTCTATTTAGAGGAGCATTTTATTTTTCAAAGTTGTGGTTGCCTCTATTTAGAAGAGCATTTTATTTTTTCTAAAGTTATGGTTGCCTCTATTTAAATGAGCATTTTATTTTTCAAAGTTATAGTTACCTCTATTTAGAGGAGCATTTTATTTTCCACAATTGCCTCTATTTAAAGGAGCATTTTATTTTTCAAAGTTGTGGTTACCTTCATTTAAAAGAGGATTTTATTTTTTAAAGTTGTGGTTACCTCTATTTAGATGAGCAATTTACTTTTCAAAATCATTAAGCCTCTGTTTAGAGGAGCTTAATTTATTTGTAAAAAAAATAGAAAAAAAAATGTCAAGTTGATTGGGTTGTTTACGTCTTTATACAATTCATGTTTCACAAAAAATGCACAAAGAGGAGCAGTTGTAGACACCCCAATCTGTCCGAGGGTCTACATTTGATTTTTGTTAAAAAATATAAAAATTAATTAAAAAATAAAAAAGCTGAAAAAACGCGAAAAGTGATTGAATTTGGGAAGGACTGAGTTGAAAAGTTTAAACTAAATTAGGGTTTAGAGTTAGAAGTCAGAAAGGATGAAAATCCCATCTGATTTAGGGCTCTTAGATTAAAGCCCTATAAATAAGGCCAAAGAACACACAGGGAAATGGACAGAAATAAAAAAACAAAGAAAGAAAAGTAGAAAGTAAAAAAATTTGAGAGTTTTTTTGTGTTAAAAAAAAAGAATTTTTTTGGAAATTTCAGATTTTGGTTAAATTTTTTGACATCGGTTGAATTTTTCGGTGACTTTTTCGATGCCTGTTGAATTTTTTGGTCAGTTACCCAGTTTTCGACATCACATTTCTAGAAATCGTTAAACTTTTCAGTGAACTTTCGATGAAAAACTTAGATTTCGGTTAGATTTTCAAGAATCCAGTGAAATTCAACCGGTGTTCTTAGGGTTTAGAGAAAGAATGAGAGAAAAGAAAGGGATAGAGAGAGGAGAAATAAGAGATCTGAAACAAAAAAAAATGAATTTGGCCTTTTATAGGGCTCTAAAACAACGTCGTTTTAGAGTTAAAGTGATTTCTTAGGATCCGCACGTTTTTATTTGGACGACCCGACCCTAACGCTAATTTGAGTTTCAACCCACTTCCCAGACGCTGTTGCTGAGCCGAGCCATGCATCCCGAGCCGCGCTTTTCAGCCTCCTTATATGTCTCAAGCTGAGCTATTTCAGTTGTTAAGCCGAGTTGCGCCAAAGGTTTTTTTTTTTTATTTAGTTAATTCATTAATTATTGATTATTATTTTTTTCTTTATTTATTTATTGACTAAATTAAAATAAGTTATTTATTTAATTAAACATCCTTTAATTTTTAATGATCTATTCAAAATAAAAATGTGAAAAAAATATTTTTGAGAAAAAATTAAAAGTATCAATTTCCCTTGAAAATAAAGATTTTCAAAAAATATTTTTTTAAAAAAATTAAAAGTATCAATTTTTCTTGTATAAAAGTATGAGTTTTTTTTTTTATAAAACATAAGAGAGATCTATATCAAAAGTCGAATCATCACCTTTTTTTCTTTTTGCCTTTTTCTTTTATTAAAAATCTTATTTAATGTTAAATAATCCGACGATAGAGTTTTTGTAAGAGAAATAGTGGTTTTCTTATATACTCTTGAGGTGAGAATTTTTTTTTTAATTTTATGTCAAAAGTATTTGAGTTAATTAAAAATAACTTTTAAGGCTGATCGGATAGCATGAAATTAAGTTGGTATCATCTTTCGATGTGCGTTGTGAGGGTGCTATAACCTTTCTCACTTGTAACCAAACTTTCGAACCCTGTTCTGATTAATAAACCTGAACTTATTCTTTTAGGGACTCTTAGTCAAGCTTAGGTGTTCCTTGAAATGATAAATTCCTTAGGTAACCAATCGCACCTAAATAAAAAAGATTAGTAGCGACTCCTCAAATTAATGCTAACGATAGGTCCTCGGATTTAGATGTTATGACAATCAATTCAATTAATTTTGAATGGAATTATATTGTATTATTTTTATTAATTAAATTAAAAATTTTAATTTTAAAAATTAATCAATCAAAATTAATTTTGTTAATATAGTTACTTTTTCAATTAATTAAATAATAAAATATATTAAGTTAAATTATACTTTAAATTCTTAAATTCTTATATGTAAAATAAATTAAATAAAATTATCTAACAAAAATATTCAAATACAAAAATATTAAGTTAAAAATTTTAATAACTTTAAATGAAATAGATAATTATATATATAAATTTTATTATATTTCGATTAAAATTTCGATTAATGTGATTAATTTGATTTTTAAATTAAATTAATCAAAAATAAAAATTTTTTAAAATTATTTTTAATAATCGATTAAAATTAATTTAATTATTAATCGATTAATAAAATTAAATTAATTCGATCAATTAATTAATTAAAACGAAAATTTGAACACTGCTAAAGTGATGCGCTAAAATATCATCTGAACCAAACGGATGGTTCATGTGATGTTTCTCTCTTAGTTATCTTTAGTTCAAATACCTTAAAAAGTTACAAGAAAGTAATTCATCATTAATTCGTTTAATTTTTTATCGTTCAACCAAAAAAACAAATAAAAAATATTATCCGAAAGGTGTTTGATGATTTGACTTCTGCAACATCAATATATGGGGAAGGGAAAGTCCAAGGCCGTCTGATACTGTTTTTATATATATATATATATATATCCAACAAGAAGAAGAAGAAGGTAGTGCTGTTTTCACCTGGCATGCTTGCTAAGAACTATAGGTTGAATAAATAATTATTATAGGCAAAATTATTTATGTAATATGTTTTATATTCTCATGTACCTACTGCTTATATATAAGATTGAAAATTATTACATTTTTTAAGCTTCTTTTTAGAACATGTATAGTGGTCTATTATTCAAAGACAACAAAAGTTTAATAACTACAAGAGGTTAGTTTATTTATATGAATGCAACAACCTCCCTTGGATATGGACATGATGATGAACCTTTGAAATAGATGGGATCTGGTTTCTATTTGAAAATGGTTCAAAATGCATATGGATACCATATGGCATAGCTTTTGCCTATTTGCCTTTCTTCGTGGCTTGAAAAAGCTGAACGAATTCAATCGTAATCCAAAAATTATAAAAATGGGAAAGGGCGCATTAAAAGACTTGATCAAATCGCATAATTTTTTTTATTATGATGATGACTCAGTTCATTCCATTATTTTAAGAATATAAATGAGTATATATATATATATACTCACACATTTAACCAACTTAATTGATTTTGTAAGGAATTTTTATAATCTATCATTATATTAAATCTTGGGTCCCAATCAAATTAAAATCCTTTTAGCTTGATGAAGAAAACTCAATATAAGGTGTATAGATGTACACATACATAGAATTTTGCTTCTTTTTTTTTTTTGAAAAAAGGGGGATTTGAGCTGCTTTTTGAATAAAAAAAATGCATGCAATGCCTAACTTTGAATCGAATGTTCGGTTGCTTGCGTTATGCATTGCTTTTACTGCAAAGATGAGCAATATTTGGGCATCAAGCAAAACCTAAGTGCCTGGGTACTTGAGTATTAATTATGAGAGTTAAACAGGGCTAACTGGGGATACCCTATTGTCACTTAGATTCATAATAAATAAGGAAAGAAACCATGCTGCAAAATGCGAAAGAAAATTTTATATGGGAGATAATATTAAGAATCTAAAAGAAACAGGATGGGGGATAGGAACAATTTTTGGTATTTAAAACTCAATAATTGAAACAACTTAATGTAGGGTTCTTGAAGGAGATTGGTGGCATTTGGGGATCCTACTCATCTCACTAAGCAAAAAAGTGTTTACTTTTTTTAACTCTTTTTAACATAAGAATATCAACATGCCAACATCATAGTCCATGCCAAATATGTTCATGGGAATCAAATCTTCAAAGCACGCCCAGATGAAATTTTACTTTTTTTTTTTTTACTTTTTGCCCTTAAGAAAAAGATTATTTGGGCAGATTGTGATCTGCCATGTTACAATTTGATGTATAATCTAGGCAGCCAGCAATAGATTAGAATTTTGGGTATTTAAAAATGAGTAGTGGAACATTTTTATTTTTGACTTTTTGACCATAATATGTCTTCTATCTCTCTTCATCTTGGTTTCTTTTTAGCCTATTGCCTAATATGTTTATTAATTTATTTGAATATATTGTGACAATTATATCAATGTGCTTTTGTTGGCATTTAAGTAATCAAAATCAATGTACTTTGCTAGAAGTTAGAAGCTAACTTGGGTTATTCGTAAGGAATTGCCAATAAGAAATGATATGGCCCATGGCTTATAATATTCTAGTCCATGCATGTGCAATAATGCAACCGAGCTATTATTGTCAATTTCTTCTTATCAACATCAGCAAGTCACCGACTCTCCATTATCAGTTGTCCTTTGTATTTACCAAGTGCCCATTTTTCTGTTCTCTTCTGAATATGATTACTGAATTTGTGCTCTTTAATGGAGTCAAGTTATTTGAACAAGTTTCTCAAAACAAGTGGCTGCTGCCGCTGTTTCTCTTGCTTCAACTAAATTTGGTTTTTGTCATTTTCAAGGTTTTGTTTTTTCCTCGTATGTGAACTAATTTGGAATGTCTAGCTGAAGCAATCATTAAGCCTTCCCTTTTGATAGTATGATGCTGGAGAGATTTTCATCGTATCATATTGTCGTTTTATGATTGATTCCAAAACACAGTTATAATGCAGTAGGAATCCTTCCACCAGGCTGACGTGTTTCTTCTTTTTTCTTACTAGTTCTGACTTTATTTTGCAAATACAACTCAAATTATAAGTAAATAGTTGAATCTTTTGGCACAGACATTTGAAGTTCATTGATTTGACCTGCAAAGGCTAAGATCACACGGCGTTTCTACCAATATCTGAACATAAAATTGGTCGTTTTCCTCCCAATGATGTCCGTGCCACTCACGTCTATGGTTATGGATGATAGTGAAAGTGAAGCCTGTAATTTGTTGGCATACATTTTTATATATACAAATTTAAAAGACATAACCTCAAGTCTCACCTAGCAATCAACGCCAATTTTAACTTGTCCACCAACCTTTCCTACCAATCCGACTGCAACCGTGCCCAACTCCTCGATCGTACCATGGATGAAGAAGGTCGCCATGGGTTCCGATTTCACCCGTTTCTCATAGGCCTTCTTGGAGTCATTGCCGGATCCTTCATGGTCGCTACTTATCATTTAGTTTGTTCTGTTTGCAATTGCTACCGCAGGCAGATGCTAGGCATCGCCATTACTAGCCAAAACCTTCAACACAATCAGCAGGAAAGGCCTAGTGACAGAAGCAGAAGCACTTCAACACCGAGATTAATTCCAATATTTAGATACGGCAAAGATTGCAAAGAAGAAATGTGTGCCGTTTGCTTGAGTGATTTCAAGGAAGGTGAGCCAATTCGGTTATTGCCAGACTGTTCGCACTTTTTCCATGTGGCATGCATTGATACATGGCTAAATTTGCACTCTAATTGCCCGCTGTGTCGTGCTGATACTTCTTCACCTCCAGAGCAGGTGGCCGTGTCTTTGCCGGATGCTACCAGAACACCCACCTCTGGAACTTCATAGATTGCCAGATTTTGGGGTGTAATTTTCAAAACGATGGAAGGGAATCAACGGATGGCTTTACTGTGAAGCCAGGTAGCTTAGCTACTCTCCATTAATGATTGTTTATTAGCTTGGAAGTGACTCAAAGCGAGAAAATGCCTAGTGAATTATAGAAAAATTAGATGCATAATGTTTGTCAACGTCAAAAGGCCGTAAATAGCACCGTTTTTTAATGACTTTTGGTCCCTGTCATCACCCTCAATCCACCCTTTATTTTCTCTACACTTCTCTAGGATGATCATGTTTCAAATGCCAAACCTTTCATTGATGAAGCTTACGAACAGTTTTTGTTGCCCAAAAGTCCAATATTAAAATTTGAATATGGATTAAAATAATTAAACAAATTCCAAATCGTTGTCGTCCCTAACTATATATCCTATGAGTATAGCCCTAAGTAAGTTTCAAATTTTCGGAAGCTCTTAAAATTGGGCCTCTTTAGCCCATGTTATTAAGGTCACTGGTCAAGAGTTTTTGTGGTCTGATTACAATAATTTGGGCCTCCTTTTGATAGTGGAAACAAACACTAAATGGGTCAAAAAAATCAACTATTACTGCTGTAATGCTTGTTGATTGAAACAAAATTCATGAATCGGTAACATACGCTGCTTTCATGATGGTTACGTGAATTTTGTCTACACAAACAGCCCCACATTTTCCCTTCAATTATTGCTTTCATCACCATCACCGCTCCCGCACCATTTCTTCCCTTACCTGCTCGAATAAAAAAAAAAAGCCTCAAAGTTTAGTCTTTTACCATTGTATTTTCTTCTTTTTTTCCTCCTTATCATGGAGAACTCACCAACCGTTATCAGGCCACCACCACCACAACCACCGCCACCCTTGCTTGCATCATCACCTCCATTTTCCCAGCCTGATAACACCACTAACGGTACTGTTATCATCAGGTCACCTCCGCCATTACCTTTGTCTTCATCACCCCAAATATATCCTATAGATCAGAACGGAAATGCTGTTATAGTGACCATCAATCCACCGCCACCTTTCCCCGCTTCACCAAGAAGCATCGATTTATCCCCACTTGAATTCATTCTTGCCCTTATGGCAGTTATAACCATCCCCGCTATAGTCTACGCTTTATTTTTTGCTGTCAAGTGCCCTCCTTGGTCTTCCAGGGAACATCAGGACAGCCCTACGGAGCTTCCCAGGGACAACAGTGGAAGTACTGTTGAATTAACTGAGAGGAGGAAGGAACCTGTTTCAGGTGTTAAGTACCAAAATGAGACTCATTCTAAAGATATTGGAAGTGAGTGCTCTATTTGTTTGTTAGTTTTAGCTGATGGGGAAGAAATAAGGCAGTTGAGTGGATGCAAGCACTCGTTTCATGCTACTTGCATTGATTCGTGGCTTAACAACCAAAACAATTGTCCAATTTGCCGGGCTTCTGTTACCGTAAACAGGCCAAATAATAATGATACGGCCTCGTCGGCTTCATCTAGAGATAGTGATCTCCATCAAGGTTTGCCAGATGCAGCCAGTTTGGTTTGACATGTCTAGTTTAATTTCTTGATTTTTTGTTCCTTTTCTTGCTGAATTTTTGTTTTTCCCTTTTGGCATTCCGAGGCTATAATAAAATTGAGAATGGCAAATGGAAGATCTGGTATTCAAAACTCCACCAAGAATTGTTAGTACTCTAGAATCCTGATAGCATAGAGATTAGCCTGCATTTTTTTTTTTTCTTTTGGGTTACTTTGCTGTGAGGAAATGGAATGAATTCAAGGCAATTAAGAGCCAGAGTTTGATCAAAAGTTTTATCTCATGGATGCTTCTTGTCATAGCTTGAACGCTTTAGATAGAGATCGAATTGGTGATTTAACAGGGTACGTATTGGTATCCGCTCTGAAGTGATTCGGATCCGGATTCACAGGTTCAAAATTGAGTTACATTTACTTCTGTTTTCTGTGATTATGCTTTGAGAAGAACTGAAGAGAGATCATAAATGGAAGTAACTGATCCCCACTTTTTCTCTTCAGTCCTTTTTTCCGTTTTAGGTCAGCTTTTTGTTCATGATTGTAAATAGCTTCAGCAATTGTTTGTATCATCTACTTCATCAGTCTTGTAATTCTTTTCCTTATCTACAAAAGCAGAAACAGTCGGATCCAACACGCATGATCCACGTTTTACGTTTCACCTTGACACCATGTTCATTGATAAAGAAGTTACATTTTACGAAAGGATAATTCTTAATCAAAGGGATTCAAGAGAGCAATACAGGGTGTGTACATATATAAAAATGCTCTGCCATCGATTCCCTTACAAATTATAAGAAAATGAATTACACTGGAATATGTGCCTTTGCTAGTTGTTCATGATTGAATACATGATCTGGTTACACGGCTTCCAGGGCCCATTGGTGGGCCAAAGGGGCGGCTACTCTTTGATGGAAAGGTATACCTAACAGAGAAAAAGGATCCAGATTTCTATTCATTGGAAGCTGGTTGCTGCTGTTGTTGCGGTAAAAGAAAGTGGGGGATATTTAGATATATATGTTTCAAACTTATGATTATTACAAAATGTGTTTTTTGCATAATGCATGTTGAATCTTGATGTTTTCCTTTGTTAATGATGTTACAATGTCAATAATTTTCCTGCTTTACTAGGTGGGGGATATATCTCAATCTCAATGCCTTGACGGCTTATCTGTCACTTTTATTTTGGTTGTTCCCATTGTAAATTACAAAAGCTCTCTTCGGTTTTTTTTTTTGGCCACCTAAGCTATAATCTTGTCAATTGAAAGTACATTTTGTGGGAAGGCCAAAAAAAAAAAAAAAAAAAGGAAGGCAGGCTTTCATTTGCCTGCTTTACGCTGCTATGCATTTTGATGAAGGGGTGGTTTGATCACATCAGTTCTGGCCCAAAAAATGGTGAATGCTGATATATTCTCAAGTCCATGAGAGCTTCTTTTCCATGGCCTCTCAAGCCCATGCAAAGTATAGACCCATGAGCCAAACATCTTGCTTCTTTTTTTTTTAGATATAAAGTAAATCACAGTATGAAAATTTTAGGTGTTAAGTTTGATAAAAAAAATTGTATGTGTTGAAATTTGAATTATATAATTATTGAATGTCACTTTCTAAAAATGTTGCATGCCCAAATTATGAATTTCGCTTACATTTTTTTAAAGCAATTGTACCATTTGTCATAAATGTGAAAAAATAATTTACACCAAATTTTGCTAGCATATTAATATCTAGTGATGAGGACAGTTTTGTTATATGTAGGTTGGTGACTATGGGTTCCTTAGAAAATGGATTATAAATGGCGTGTGCTTCAAGATCAAATGCACACATATTACTTGACTTTCACTTTAATCTGTTTGCAAACATTAAATTTGGTTTTGAGTAATGAAATGTCAAACACAATTATGAATCTTATCAATTATACAAATACGAGTCAATCTCATGATCGATGTTTAAATTATAGTAAAATATTTAATATAATATTTAAACGATAAAATTTTTTAGTATAGTATTTATATTATAAATTTATTAATTAATATGATATTTAATTTTAATATTGTTAATTTTAAATAATGATACATGTTAAATAAATAAAAGTTTAAGTAATATATTAATTAATAAATTCATAATTTAAATATCACATTAAAAATTTTTATCATTTAAATATTAGATTTAATATTTATTATAATTTAAAGATTATTTATGATATTAATTTAGATAAACATTAACACTCTTTTTCAATGTAATCATTTTTAAGCAATTTGAGAATTTCATGTAACTCTAAAATTTCATGATTTTTATTTGGATAGAATGGGAAAATGACATAATAAAAATAAAAAAATTTTAAATGTTAATTATTTTTGTAAATTTTTATTAATTAGATAATCTAATATACTTATCATTGACCTTAATTAAATTAATTCAATCAGTTATTTAAAAAAAAAATCAATTAATATGAAGTTACAATTTTAACATAAATTTTTTCTCTATATTTCACTGTATTGTTTTTTTTTATATAAAAAAATAAAATTTAAAGTATTTAAAGAGTTGACATGTTATAATTTTCTAATACAAAATCATGTTAACGGTAATTTACTAAATTTAAAAACTTACATTTTTTAAAATTTTGATTGTCAATTATGATAATTTGACAATTTAATTACTAAAACAAAAAAAATTAAGCGTTAGATCAAACAAATCAACGGTTACAGGTAAATTAACAACAACATTAAAAAAAAAAAAAAAACAACCCGTAACACTACAGTGTAACCGACAATTCAAATTAAATTCCGACCGATATTATTTCCCTCTCCAAGCACGGACAACAGTACAAACTACAAATTACCCTTTTCTTTTCAAATCAAAGCCACCACTTCAACAGAAACCACTTACGCCAACACCGAGTCCGACACTATCATTTAACCTTCTCAAAATTCAAATCGAATCTCTCAAACCCCTCTTAGATTTTAGCTCTCCCGTCCGAAAATCTTCCCAAAATTGTAAATTAATGAAAAGAGCTCAGTTGCCTTATTCTCCAGATCGATCATGGCTTTTGCCATTACTTGTAATCTCAATCATTTCACTCACGTTTCTTCTAGCATTAACTTTTACCCACGGCAAATCGTTGTCTTCCAACACCGACTTCTCTTTTCACCAACGGAAATTTACTTTTTCTGAAGGGGTTTACGGCCGGTTGCCGAAGTTACCGAGGTTTGCTTATTTGATATCGGGGACGAAAGGGGATGGGCCAAGTGTCAAGCGGTTGTTGCAGGCGGTTTATCATCCGAGGAATTACTACATACTCCACCTTGATCTAGAAGCTCCGGATTCGGAACGGCTGGAGTTGGCTAAGTACATGAAATCGGAGGGCGTGGTTAGGGAGTTTGGGAACGTGATGGTGATCGGGAAGGCTGATTTGGTGACTTCTAAGGGGCCCACTATGATTGCTAGCACGCTTCATGCGGTGGCGATATTGTTGAAGGAAGCCAAAGATTGGGATTGGTTTGTGAACCTTAGTGCATCAGATTATCCCCTCATGTCTCAAGATGGTAATAAACATTTTTAATTTTTATTATAATCTGAATTTAAAATGTTGGGTTGTTGAGATTTGGCCACGAATTGGATGGAATGGTCTATGATTAATTTTTTATGATTGGATTATGGATAATTTGGATATTTCTTGTGCGAGTGCAAATGGGTTGGCACTGAGAGGGATTGGATGATATGAAATGGGAGTCAAGGATAGTAGCATTTTTAAAATCTATAATAATGAGTAGGATTTAGATATTGTTATTGGAATTTTAATAATGGTTGAAGGTGGTAGAGCATGAATTTAAGATGCACTGACTGAGTACTGTTTTATGTATTTATTTTTATAATTATAGTGGTAACTTAACAGTTGGGATGTACCAAAATTTTTGTGGCATATGTTTGGTGATAATTTTTGCATGAAATGGTCGTCAGAAAGGCAAAAAGCAACTGCTTATGGTACGTGGGTGACTAAGTGCAAGCTTGTTTCTTCAGGGGTTTCTCCATTATTTGGTCTGCTTTAACTTGGCTGATCCGCTGGCTGCAATTACCTGTATAATTCCTGTTGGTTTTCCCCTTTGTGAATTAGCAATATTCATTTCCATCTGCAATTGCATTTGCAGCAGCTCTCCATATTGCACTCTCTTGAAAAATTAACAAATGTAAAATCTGGCTAGGCCTAGGCATGTTTCAGTAATCTTGCTGATTGCGTATTGGTTTTGGTTTCAGATATGGTGCACATCTTTTCTTACTTGCCTAGGGATCTCAACTTCCTGGAGCACACGAGTAGCATTGGTTGGAAAGAGTGAGGATCCAATACATGTTATTCCGCTTTTTATGCAGTGTACTCATTTACATGGCGTTCTTTGAATGTAATTTATTGTGTGCTTGCAGACACCAAAGAGCAAGGCCCATCATTATAGATCCAGGCTTATATCATTCAAAGAAATCTGGTGTATTTTGGGCAAAGGAGAGAAGATCATTGCCTGCTTCATTCAAGTTATTCATGGGTAATGCTTTTATATTTTTGTTTTTTGTTTGTCATTGATCTCTCCACTCCAAATTATTTGTCTGGTAAAACTTGTGTTACAACATTCTTGAATATCAGTTAAAGTCGATAGAAGCCTGCGGGTGGCAGCATATAGTTTTCATTTGATTTAAGTAAATGGATGCTATGTTACGTATTCTAAAAATAGTTTTGCTGTTGAAGATTGGTATCTGGTTTTCAGTATACTGTTTTAATATAACATGGGAAAAAGTGTTGAAGAGTTTTAGAACTGCTAGTTAGACATGATCTCTAAAATGTTTATTGCAAGGTAACTTGTAGTCTTTGTTGTGAAATGTTTAGAGATCCTTGTGCAACCTTGCATATTGATAAGCTTCTGATGGAAGTAAATCTCTGTTTTAAGTTATGTCTTAGATATTTGTTAAAGTCTGGTTGAAAATTTGCCTGTATTCTAGTCTTTCTAGATTGCTGTTCCTTGAAAGTATCATCTTGTATCTGGAAATAACATATCCAGAGTAGGTTGTGTGAACTTTTAACATATGTTCTGAATATTTGATTATTTATAAATTTTACAAAATCGTATGGTACATGCAATAGATTCATTGTACTTTATATCCTGAAATTTTGATGCACAATTCCAGGGTCTGCATGGGTTGTTCTGACAAAGTCATTTCTTGAATTCTGCGTCTGGGGGTGGGATAATCTCCCCAGAACTCTCCTTATGTACTATACAAATTTCCTGTCATCTCCAGAAGGCTACTTCCACACTGTAATCTGCAATCACAAAGACTACCAGAATACAACTGTAAACCATGACTTGCATTATATAAGATGGGATAATCCTCCAAAGCAGCACCCAATGACTCTAACATTGGAACATTTTGACGACATGGTTCAAAGTGGAGCCCCTTTTGCTCGCAAGTTTACCAGGGATGATCCAGTACTGAAAAAAATTGACAAGGAACTCTTAAGGAGATCCAATGGTCAGTTTACCCCAGGAGGTTGGTGTGTTGGAGGTTCCTTTCCTGGTACAGATCCTTGTGTAATTTATGGGAACCCAAATGCTGTTAAACCTACTGTAAGTTCAAAGAGGCTAGAGAAACTATTGGTACAACTTCTTGAATCTGAAAGATTTAGATCAAAACAGTGTAAATAGTTTTTTGTAATGCTAAGTATATACTGCCCCTCCTCCACCCCCCCAAATTTTGTCAACAATAATGTTAGCTAAACACGACAATTTTAAACATGACATGAAAAAATTATGTATGAATTTAGTGTAATAATGTTTTGTGTTTTAATTGTATCGATGCGATTAAGATAATACATTATTTATGTTATGTTGGTGTTAAACAGTAATGACACGTTCAAGACGCGATATTATTTGTAACATAAAAAAATTTAAAATTTATTTTAATTTATTTTAAAAATTAAATTAGTAATCGTATTTATCATATTATTTTAGTATTTAAATAGAATATAAATATTTAAGTTTTAAATAATTTTTTATTTAAATACTAATTTAAATTAAATTTTTTGTTTAAATAAATAGATTATTCATGTTAAATTGTATTATTCGTATATAATAATATTAATTGTATCGTATTGCATCGTATTATTTGAATAATTTATCGTATCTAATCGTGTTATTCGTATATAATCGTATTAATTGTGTTATATCATATCATGTTATATGGATATAAATTAATTTTAAATATATTAATCATGTCATGTCACGTGTAACTTATATAATAAATATATTATATTTATATTTAAACTATTTATATCATATTAAAAATTATATTTGACACAAAATATGATACGATAACTCTCAATAGCCACCCCATTATTTATGGTAGTAGCTGATTCCATTTCCCGGCCCATTTGGACCAAAAGTTTCGCCCATTTAAGAATATTAGATTTTGGACCCCAATGGCTGGCCTAGTGTCAACATGGGGTTTCTGTTTCTGGACCATAGCTAGCTTTTAAATTTCTTTTTCTTTTCGCCCTCTGTGTATATTTGCAAATATTACAGCCAAATTTGGCAATTTTGTTTGATTTATCCTACAAAAATTATGGTTTGGCATCTTTTATTGAACCCAAAAAGGTAAAGCCAACCTATCAGGAAAAGCAGATCTTATGTTGTATGACCATCTGGTTTTCAACATAATAAAAGTGGTTCTGGTTTTTTTTTTTTTTTTTTTTGTCTCGAGATGAAACATAAGCGAATGAGAAGGGCAGGAAAACTTAACAAAATTGGACCATCCAAAAGCAAATTAAGATTAGGGGTGAGAAAAAATAAAAAAATTAAAAAGTAAAAAATTTATTCTAAATCGTAGTGTTTAGTTTAGTTTGGATCAATTTTTTTTATTTAATTTGGATATTAGATATATAAAATAAATTTAAATAGATTTTGAGAAATCAAAAATAAAAAAAAATTTGAATGAATTGAATTATATATTTTTATTAATTTATATATATTTTAAATTTTTATAAAATAAAAATAATTATTTTATACATAAATCTATTTAAATATATTAAAAATTATATTAAAATAATATATAAAAATTTAAATTTAAAAAATCATTGAATTAGATCGAACAAGTAGAATTTAGTTCAATTTAATTTAAATTGTAAAAAAATTTAATTTGAATTTAAATTAAATTTTAAAAATTTATAATTTTATATATTATTAAAAAAATCAAACAAAATCTGATAATCATTATCATCCCTAATTAAAATAGATTAACTTTGAATGGAAAAATTAGACCATCCAAGCACAAGCACCTCGAAAGGAGTGTGGGAATAGCACTGAAATAAATATATATTCCCATGCACCAATAAAGGAAACGAGTGGGGATGAGAAACATGCCGGACCGGGGAAAAAAAGGTTCCTTCGGTCGGGACCCTTGGATTACTACGCCACCAAAGCACCCCCCCAAGAAGGAACTCTATATATTATAAATTATTATTAATTAAACTCAATTAAATCTCACCATTAATCATAATTAAACCTTGTTAATTAATTAATTAATGTAAGCTGGTTTGCACTCTAGAGACCAACTCTTTTGCATGCAAGAGAGCCACTAATCTCATTTTTCTAAGTATAATAAAAGTGAGAAAAAAACAAAAGCTTATAGGCTAAGAAACATGGCCTTCTCTAAACCCTAAAAAGCAATAAAACAACCAAGAAGTAATTAATTATATATTACCATATAGTATAAATAAATATAGTATATATAAAGCACCCTCCTTTAAAATTTTTTTCCTTCTCTCTTCATTCCATATCTCTCCCTTCTTTCTTTCTTTCTTTCTCTTTTCCTTTTCTTTCTTTCTCTAACACTCTCTCTTTGTTTGATGTGATTCTCCACTACAATTATCCCCCAAAAAACGCAACAAACTTTTACAAAAGGAAAAGAAAGATCAAGAAATCATGGTTTTTACCTCCATCCCAGCTTATCTTGATCCAGCCAACTGGCAACAAGTAAGTGTTTTTATTTTTATTTTTTTCATTGGGTTTATTTTGATGGTTTCATTGATAAAAAGGCAAAATCCAAAAGATAAATATTCTTATTACTTTTGTTAATATCTTGTTGAATATACCAGGTGTTTGATTTCCTTTTTTTTTTCCTTGCTTTCTTGGATTTTTCCAGCATCCAAATCATCAAGCTGGTCCTAGTAGCAGTGCAAGCCACCATCAGCTTCCTCCTCCACCACAACCACCTCAACTACCACATGGAGGAGGTGCAGCTGGCTCGATCCGGCCCGGTTCAATGGCTGATCGAGCTCGTTTGGCCAACATACCGATGTCAGAAGCAGCATTAAAATGCCCTAGATGCGAATCAACAAACACAAAGTTTTGCTACTTCAACAACTACAGTCTCACACAACCTCGTCACTTTTGCAAAACTTGTAGAAGGTACTGGACTAGAGGAGGTGCCCTAAGAAATGTTCCAGTTGGAGGTGGCTGCCGTAGGAACAAACGAAGCAAAGGAAGTAGCTCGAAATCTCCGGTCAGCGGTGACCGACAAACAGCTTCTGGTTCCTCAAGTGCAATTTCTTCAAACAGTACTGGAAGAACTGATATTTTAGGCCTTGGACCTCAGATTCCTCCACTGAGGTTCATGGCTCCTTTTCATCATCTTACTGAATCTGGTGCTAGTGATATTGGGTTGAATTATGGGACAATTTCAGCTCCACTTGGAGGAACTAATGACCTAGGTTTTCAAATAGGAAGTGCTTTAGCTAGTGGAGCTGGCGGGGTTGGGGGTGGTGCTGCTGCTCCTGGTACTTCTCTTTTGACTATGAACGGTTTGGATCAATGGCGGCTACATCAAGCGCAGCAGTTTTCCTTCCTAGGAGGCTTGGAATCTTCTTCTGGCTTGTACCAATTTGGCAGTGTAGGTGTTGAGCCATCGGGTTATGGAGCTGGTCATCAGGTTCGGCCTAAGATATCAAGCTTAATAGCAACCCAGATGGCTTCAGTGAAAATGGAAGATAATAATAATCAGCAGGAACTGAATTTGTCGAGGCAATTTTTGGGGGTTCCAGGAAATGATCAGTACTGGGGTGGAACTGCATGGACAGATATTTCCAGTTTCAGCTCTTCATCCACTAGCAATCCATTATAGATTTGGTTCTCTCTCTCTCTCTCTGTCTCTCTTGTTTCAAGTGCTGAAGCTTCGGTTTTTTTGTCAGTACAGTAGCTTCAATTAAAGAAAAATTAACTATGAAGACAAAGTTACTTTCCAACTCCATATGGCATCAATGATCAAACCTCCAGACACCTTATCCAAGAAGGATCCTCGAGTACTTGGTTCCATAAAAATCGAGTAAAACCCTAGTATTGGTAGCCTTTGTTTTAGTAGAATTGGTAGATTTCAATTCATGAGTATGTTTTCCATAGTAAGTGCATGTATCAGTTTATAGAGCTTGTAATAGGCATATACCTACTGATGATATGCATTGCGCAAAATATATCTGTTTAAATCCTATAATTTGACAATTAATGCCTCTTGATAATCTTCTTACAAGGGATTTGCAAATTATGTTACATTACTAGTTTATATAATTGAATTATTAATCATTTGAATTCAACAATTTAATCAAAACCTGGACGGCTTAGAATCATGCTAAGATTCATTTGTTTGGAGTTAATGACTTCTTTTACATGTCTATTGGCCTTCTTTCTTCTTCTTCCTCTTCTTTTTATAAAGATTTTTATACCTTTTAAAACTTTCATATTTTAGTCAAGTTTCAAGGCAAAAGCTTATTAAAGTATAACTTTAGTTAACCATAAGTCTACCAATATGCAAAGTATCATTTCGTCCTCCTCACACTGAATTCTTGAAAAATAACAGAATTTCGAATTCAAAGCTCTTTTAGTTGATTTGGATAGAATTTCACAATTCATACTTTACTATATATCAGGTTGGAAAAACATTAATTAGCTTCCTCTTTCTCAGTTACTTTATTAGAATATTTTAATACTCCCATGTCACTCTTTAGCACTAATTTGCCTTTGTTTAATTACACTGTGTTTGATGTTAGTTTCTACTTGTGATCAAGCTACACTTTAATCTATAATTGATTCAGTGTATAAACGGTCGGCATCATTGTTATCAGTTTTTCAGTTTTTTTTTCCACTCTTTCCGTCTCGCTTAAGTACGTAAAGATTCGCAAGTTGGAGAAAATGTTGAGGCTTGTCATATTGATCAAACAATTAATTGGATTGTACCAACAATAGATTGACTCAATTGGTAGGATTGTTACTTTCAATGTAAGTGATATTGAGTTCGAGTTCAGTTGGTAATCTTTTATTAAAATAATCTTGAATATACAATTTGCAGTTATTATTCTATAAAAAAAATATATTTTGTTTTGATCTAAGTTATTGAATAATTTATCTATCTTTGGATTGTTTGTAAAAAAAAAAAATAGAGTTAGACAGTTGGTGGTTCATGATACCATCAAAATATATTTCCAAAAGGAGTGCATTCTTTTATTTTGTGCAGCCATAGCTTACTCCACTTGAAACCTTTAACGGAAAATTTTGCTTGCTGCCCCCACAAAAACCAAGAGAAAAAGGGCGAGGGAAGAGGGAACAAAAGAGCAGAAGAAAGTGTTTTACAGCTTATCATGTTTGAGCAAATATGCAAGAAGAGCCTTTGTTGTATGTCTGAGCAAGGAATTATCCACGATGCATGTTCATAAATATCTGATTGCTGCCACAATCGCATGGTGAGACAAAGAAAGAGAAAATTGCGTAAAAATCTACTTTGGTAATGATAATATGTGAAACAAAAAGCTCTCTTCTGATAATTAGGTGAGACATGAGACACTGCAGCCATTTGTAACATGGGAATGATTTTGTCATAATTTAAAAACGTACTTGTTTGTATTGAGATATGTGAAAGAGAGTGTGAAATGCAATGATCATAGTCATAAGAAAACCAACATTTTTTATAAAAAAAAATCTGTAAATTGAAAATAAAAAATAGTTATTAAGATTAGAATTTAAATTTTAAATTATTCAATATTATTTTTAAAAATATGTGATTAATTTTTGAATTAAAAAATCAACATTTCACTCGAATCTATTACAAAAAAATCATCGTAGTATTCTTGAATATGAATAAATTAAGTGTGAAGACAGCGAGGAGAAGGGGAAAAGGACGAAAAACGTCAAAAGAGAGCCACGACAATTGGGTCAAAGACAGAGATTTACTAAGGTAAGGCTACTGGCTTTCGGACAGGAGAATGGAATGTCTGACCCATTTTCTAAGTTTGACGCGCGTGTCTTTGGCACCACTCACTAAAAGACAAAGACTGGTTTGTCAGCGTGTGGACCTGACTGCTGATTCTTGGTCTCCGTGATTGCATCTTACACGCACGCGCTTCAAGGCTGCACTTTTCTTTTTTTTATATATATATATATTGTTTTTTTTATTACTCTAAATATAATAATTTAAAATATGATATAATAATATAATATAAAATTAATATGAATAAAATATATAAAAATAATATAATTTAAAATTTTAATAAAAAAATATAAATATATTTAATAAAATAAAAATTATTTTTTTATTTTTTATTTATACAAATTATAATACATAATTTTTATATGAAATATAATACAAATACATAAATTATTACTATTTTATATCAAACAAATACACAAATTACCAAATCTCTATAAAAAAAAAAACCTCATATTCACTCTTTTCATTTGCTTACGTTACTGACACAACAAACACTCTCACTCGCTCGAGGAGGACTTCACTTCCCATGGTACACTCCTTTAAAGGGTTGTTGGGTTGTTTGACAAACTTTATTAAAATCTATTTAAGCCTCCTAATGGTCTTAATATATTTTATCACCGTATATAAAAAATTAACTCATGTTTTTAAATCCTTAAAAATTGGAAAAATTTCAAGTTTAATAGTTATTTGACATAGTATCAATGACATATAACAATCTTTTATTGGGTATAAATTCAATTACTAAATTTAATTCAAATATTTTATACAATCATTATTAAGAATCAATATTCAACTGATCTAATATTTAAATTTCAACATTTATAATCTTTATTTTTATATTAAATTATGATTTTTTTTTATAAAAAGAATGACTATTATAATTTCTTATTCTAACTATTAAATTCTCCCGTAAAGTATGCTCTAAGTTTAGAGCATTTTTAAGATGGATTTAACTTTACTCATATAGTTGTTGACAAATTAAGTTTTCAACTATGATGAATATATGTGGGAATAGAGAAAAGATTGAATTAAACAGTTGCGTTAAGTTAGCATATATCTATTTTATTCAAATCATGTCATATAATCATATTATTAAAAAATTAATTATTTATTATAAAATAATTGATTAATCTATTAAAATAAATATTTATCATTTAATTATCGCATATCATATATAATAAATGATTAACTTTTTCTGAATAAATGTTTATGTAATATAATTTGAATGAAAATAATACATGTTAACATAGCGTAACTATTTCATACAAAATTTTCTTCGTGGGAATATTATTTTTGTATGGAAAGTCTTTTAATATGATATTCCTAACCTAATAAACTAAATAGTGTGTATATATATATATATATATATATATAGAGAGAGAGAGAGAGAGAGAGAGAGTAGACTTTGAATTAGCCCTCAGCATATAAAAAACAAAACTAGCTACTAGTAAGAAATTCTTTCATTCTCCTTTTGTTAATTTTTGTTTAATCTTTTATTCATTAATAATTAAGTTACACTCTTTCAAAAAAAAAAAAAAAAAACTAAGTTACACAATACGGGGAGAATCATTTTTTGTTCCTTTACCTAAATATGAGTTTGAGACATCAATTTTTCTTTTGTGTTAGCATAATAAATATTGCATTAATATTTGCAATTGACATTAATATTGCACTGTTGGTTAGCTTTCCAAATATTTCCTAATTGCCCGATAAATTTGGCTTGATGTTTGCATAAAGGTGGAAAAAATATTCAACAATAAATTAATTTAAAAACCAAATTCATGATTAGAAATCATGGGAATGGTCGATTTGGTCCAATTTATTTTTAAAAAATTCTAACAATCATCTCAGTTTCTTAATCGGAAACTTCCCTTGATCATCTAACCATAAATATCAATGCCAATAGTACTTAATTAGGCTATAATTACTGTATGTTCCAACTGGAATTGGGTGATGTTTGAAAGCAAGGAATCCGAGAGAGTGTTTGGGTTTGCTTTTTCAAGAACCAAGGCTGCTTACCAAGGACGAATAAAGCACATTCAAGACCGTCAAAGGGAAAAGCTTTCTCTCACTCAAAGACGGATAACAATGCTATAGTTTGGTCGGTCGTTCAGTCATCATCCTCGTTATCTTAGTAATCAAAGGAATATAGAATTTACAATGATCCCGGCCGAAATTGTCGATATTGAAATTAACGTAAAGAAATCAAAAGGCTCGGAAATCCATGGCAAATCAAATCTAAACTCTGATTTCAATGAGTTCCATGTTTGATGAGTGCACATGGAATTGTGTGCAATAGAGCAATAGCTGCAGCTTCCACTTTTGTAATGTCTTTGTTTTGTTACTACAACGATATATCATCTCCAAACAAGATGCCCCGAGCCTGATCTAACCAGATTCTTCTTCTCTTTTGAACCTGAGTCCTTCACGTTCTCCCACATGCACATGTCCATGAATTTTAGATACAGGCCAGCCCTATCACTCAGTCACTTCCCTCTCTCTCTCTTCTTACCCTTCAAAACTTTGCCTGCTCTAGAAAAAGTGAGTAGTTATCATATGGTTGTGTCATTTCCTTTTTGCATGAGCCATATTTATTTAACAAGGCAAAAGAACAACAGCATCAATTTCAAAACAATGTCGTTAAGGAAACCAGTTGTTGCTGTCTCCATCATGGAAATGGGGGTTTGCCTTTGCCTACAAGGACCTTGGGTTGGGTATCTTCCTCAATTTAGGTGAGTAGCATCCTAAGATGTCACTTTTTAGCTGTCCAAAGAAAAATATGGATTTGACCAATTCATACCCCAAGAGTTGGCACTAAAAATTTGATCACCAGACATGCATCATTAGCTTAAGTTGTTTTTAGCCTTTGATGGATGCCAAATCTACGTGGCATTCCGTGCATGAATATAATTTTATATTGGACTATAGGTCGTCGACAACGATAATATTTCTTTTTAAGATGAATTATTAAGGTTTAGTTATGAAGGCATCATCATCTACATGACATGATCATGGATTTTTTTTTTCTTGTCTGCTAATTTATGACTCACGAATACACGTGCATGAATATTAAATTTATCTTGTCGGGTTATTTAAATTGATTATAAACTTATTAGTGAATGTGGAATGTAGCCCAATTAAGCATTAATTCAAATTATATACTATTGGACTGACTTTTAGAGGTTGTAAATTTTTAAAGATTGTGAATTGAAGAGAATTTAATCACAAAATGTTTTCCTTAAGTTATATAAGAATTGGAAGATTAAAAAGTAGATTAAAAATTAAAAAAAAAATGTGGAATGTCTTATTCCAACTTAGCTACATGATTCCTATGATTAGACAATACCATTAAATCATATGTCAAAAATCAAGCTTAATATTCGATTTTCAAATCTCTGAATCATGCCACTATATTTAGGCAGCATTCTATTAGAACTTAAATATAATAGTTAGACAATTTCTTATCAGCTTAAAATTTTAAGATAATCGACCACCTAATTTAACAATTTATTAGAACTTTCAAGTTCGAATTCTGAAAAGCACAACTCTTTTAGTATTTCTTCATACAGTGTATTTTTGCCCATTAGGCTATGCAATCTTTAGCCTTTCTTCAGCTTGCACTTTTATTCTACACTTGAATTTGCTGTAAGTCTATTAATCATTTATTTGGCTTGCATGTGAGGAGATGTATTAGAACTTAAATATAATATTTGAGTCATTTCCTATCGGCTTATGTTTTTAAAATAATCAATCAATCAATTTAACACATTCCATGAAACAACGTTTCATATAAACTATTTATTATTCTATATAGTATAGGAATAGTAATGGAGCGAATATCAATTATTTTTTAGATATCCGTATTCGAATTTGTTCAATATTTATAATATTCAAATCCATTTAAGTTTAATATCATTATCCAAATTTGAATCCATTTAAATAAAAACTATCTGTTTAAATAAACAAATTCATTAAAATATATGTTTATTTAAATTTTTTGTTAAAATATAAAATAAAAATGGATTTAATTTAAAATTCAAGTTCAATCTTAATTAATAATAAATAAAAATTATTTTTTAAGATTCAAAACTTTTTACAAGTATAAAATTTTATATATTTTGTATATGTAAACGGGAAATAGATTCGGATATTTATAATTATTTACTAAAACTTAAATGGATTCAAATATTAAATATCTAAGAGATAATATTTATATTTATTCCAAATTTGTCATGTATAATAAATCTTTCATCCGAATCCGTTAATTATTCATTTATAATTATTCGAATCCGATATAAAGGGATTGGATAATGACAGATATCTGTTTATTTATTATCCATTACCATTCTCTATTTGAATTTGAGAAAAAAAAATTATTTTTGATTAATTTCAACAGCAATATGATTTTAATCTTTTATGTCAAAGTGGGTTTGTCTTTTTCTTAATGCAAAACAGATTTTTCTTGATCGCATTACTGTATTTTAATGTTTCATGAAACATATCTTAAAACATTAATTCTCTCTCGTTTTGCCTTTACACTGTAGTTTTGCCTTTTTTTTTTTTTTTTTCTAATTAGCTCTAAATATTTGCATGGAAATGAAAATGGAAGCTTGCGTGAGGAAGCACTCAATTTGATTATGATTGTTCAGTTTGTTTATGTCCCACTGATTTTTTTTTTTTTTTACTTATACAAATAGAGCCCACATACCAGATTGGTGGGGGAAACACAGATTTTTGTTTTGTTTGACCCATCATTATCAGGAGTCAATGGAAAAAATTAATTGATTTAATTAAACCATAATTGATAGATTAAGAAGAATTAATGGTCAAGCAATTAGACCATAAGCTCCAAATCTGATTAATTGTTTGAAGGTTCAGCGCAAATTACGCTATCAGCTGCCCCAACTACCCCAAGTTTCACACTGTCACAGTAACATGAAATTAAGATCTATATGACATTGCTTCTCTTTCTTACTCTTAGTTTCTTAATTTTCTTCACTTAAATTACATTTTTCCTTTTATCTTGTGATTAATAACGTTATTGGGTTCCTTAGACAACTTTAACAAGTTTAAGAAATTAAGGATCTGGAAAAAAATTATATATATGTATATATGTGCGTGCATATTTTTGGTTTTTTTTTATTTTTTATTTTTAAGAATGACCTATTTTTGGGTTATAATGTTCAGCGTTTCATAGAGTGCATATATTTGGTGAATGTGTCAACTCTGATTATTGAAATGGAAGACCAATATATATCTCTTTTAGTCCTTTTAGCATTAGACGCTAGACAAACACATGAAATCTCTTACAGCTCAGTTTGAAGCTGCCCATTCAACAACCTTAAATTCTTTTTTGTTACCTGTCTACAAGACACAAAGGTAAATTGTCAAAACTCAGGACAAGTTACAAGGTCAATTTCCATTGATCTTGTGTATAATCACCACTTTTTATATGTATATACACACAAAGGAAATTATTATGCCTAAATCAATTGATCAACAGTCAAATTTTAATTAACATAGTTGGATACTTGGATAAAACAATGAAAGCATGCTTAAATAGTCATGTCACCTGCTCTAAGGGGATGGCTTGTCATCTACTAAAGAAAGACTCGCCCAAGGTCCCAATAATTACTTGTCAAGGCAATTATATCAGAAATGACCTATCAAGATCTAATTTATCTAAGATCATCAATGTAATTCATGTCTACTCGAATCATTAAATAAAATTATCATTTATTGACTTTTTCTAAAATTTCACACAGACATCTCATAAATTGTTAATTATCTCAATTAAGTTGTTACGCCTGATCTCAAGTAAAAGATAGATGAAAAATCAAATATGCAAAGTAATACAAAATCAGACCCAACTCTTTTAACTTTCTCTCTATTGAAGCTTTTCACACATACTTTGCCTCCTTATTTTTTAATACTATCTCAAGCATATTGATTTGAGCGTTAAAGCACGCCCAAAATAATAATTTCAATACCCTTGACCGTAATTTTTTAACTGCAAATCATAATTGTGTTTTCCTTCCACCGTATTCCTTTCCTTCTAGGTAAGACATTCAAAAACACGTCAACAGAAATTATTACGATATTTCTTCTTTTCTTCCCCTTTTTCAACATAAAATATTCATCTTTCTGACTGTACCGGCAAAGGCCAAGCTGTGCGGCCGCCTGGAGAAAACTGGGCAAGGCTACATGAAACCCAACAAGTCAGGCCCAGCAAAAGGTGACAAATTCGAAATTTTCTTCCGAAGGGTTGCCTTTGCTGTGAAGTAAATTAAACCTCCAAAAGTTGGTAAGCATTAAGGAATATAAGCAAAGAAAAAGTTGTAACAATTTGATTTTTTACCATATTACCATGTTGGAATTTTCCTGTATTATTTCAGCTGCAGATTCTCCAGACTGTTTATAGTGGCAAAATATACATATCTCTTTCAATTTGATGTTGATTAGCACTACAGTCTACACGGAAATATAATTGCATCAACTTTTTATTTTTTTATTGCTTTTTGTTCAGTTATCTCTGACTGTTGTTTGATGGGAGCATGGGATGCATCTTTCTTTATTTTAGCCACTAATATGAGAGAAGCCTCGAAGTTGGCTAATGGGTTTTCAGATATTTGTTTGCATTTACCTTTGAATATCCCAAAAGGTGGAAAGTTGATGCCTACTCTCCATTTTTAAGGAAACATTCAAAAGACGATAACAGATGGATAAATTTGCTAATTTGTTGAAAGTCGTATAATTTATTAGTAAAATATTAAAAATTTAGTTTTAGAAATCAAGATTCAAATTTGAACAGAAAATTTCTGTTCTAAAGGAAGCATCATCATTATTTTTTTCTATCCAATGAACCAGATCAAGAATTCATGATTATAACATGCAAGGATCATCATGGATGTTTAAAATTCTTCTTAAGAGAGATAGCTTAATTAAGTATTCCTTGAAGTTGGACTATTGATATAGAACTTTGATTGCCATTGAATCTTTAAATTTGTGATAGAATCAAAGTTATTAATTTTGTTTCAATATTAGTCATACTGATCAATATGTTTTAATTATACCAAAGTACGATACGTTTAAGTATAATTTTTCATACTAAACCTAATACTAAATAATACTAATTATTTTCATCAGTTTCGACTAATATAAAAATTATTCAATACTATAAATTAGTTTTCAATTAGTAAAAAATTAAAATATTATTTTATATGATATTAACAACTTCGTTTTAGGGTGAATATGAGAGTTCCAACCCATTTCTCATTTGGTTATCAATTGAAGATTGTGGAAGCCAAATGAATTACAAAAGTATTGCAATTTTCTTTTGCATTTCGACCTAATGTTCTTGATAGTTGATACCCACTTTCCAGCACCTTTGATATAGCCACCTAAACTTTGTGTTTGGCACCCTCCGTCACTCTTTATTTCTCGGCCCAAATGAAATGAAAAGTCATTTTCCATTGGCCCAAGACTTTCACTACAAAAAAATTGTGGCCAAAGATTAACAGCCCATACAAACCCATGCCTCAAGCCTGGTTTTGTCTTTTAATTAAGGATCAATTAGTTTAACTTCTTGTGCAAGATTATCCTTGAAATGAACCATCAAGTAAATATTGTGAAATTCTTTTAGCCTTAGTAATTAATCTATAAGAAAGTCATTAAAAAAGAGCTTAACCTTTACAAAATTTAAAAAAAAAAAAAACTCCTACAGTTTAATTTGACTGCATGGGACGTGTCATGCAAAACTTCTATAACAATTTCTTTAAGATGGTGCATCATCTTATAGGCGGCCAATTCTTCGTGGTAATCCGAAATTTTGGTAAATCCTGATTTCACCACCCAATGTGGCTGTAACGATTACTAGGCCCCAAGCCGTTGCTTGTGTTGGATGGTGTCCATGGCCAACGACATCTAACCAAGACCGAGACGCAGACCAAGATGATGATGGTGTGGCAGAGGAGATTGAAGGTGAATGATCGTATCTTATTGAGGCCGAACTTGGGTTGGAAGCAAAAGAGATAGAAGGTGAATCCCCTGCTCTTATTGAGGAACAAGAGTTTAGGTTTGTAGCAGGGGAAATGGAAGGTGAATCACCTTCCCTTGTTGAGGAAGACCTCAAGATGGATGATGACTCGACAATCCCAGTATCTGTACGAGAAACCTGAGCAAGCTCTTCTTCGGGAGGGGTTATAGGTCTTTCTATATTGTTGTTGTTGTTGTTCTTCTTATTCGGAAGTGGTGGCAAGGATTTTTTGTTGTTGTTTGATCCAGGGCTGTCTTCTTTCCTTGGCGATTCACACTTGGTGTTACTTTGTTGTGGTGGGCATCGTTTCGAGTGTCTTTTTGAATGTGCTGTTGCCATTGATGGAGGTTCACCTTTTATAGTACCAGGCCATGGGATTGCTACCGAAACATCTTTACATAGGAAGTGTTCGTGACTTCGAGCAGTGATCATAGTTCTTTTTCCTGTGCCTGTATTTCGAGGTTCCTCACACCTCCAAACAAATACCTGAGAATCTTCGCTTGCACTTATGACATATTTTCCATCTAAAGTAAATGAAGCTGCAATTTGACTGCTGGTATTTCGAAAGCCTGATAGCCAAGAACATATATATGCATTTCATTGACTGGAATTAAAAAGTAGCATGTTTAAAACAAGAATGAAAAGAGATCAGAAGATTAGTCTTGATTGTTGTTTGTTGAGGGGAGTACCTCTAAATTTACGAATGACTTCTGAACCATCCAAAATTCGTATTCGAGAATCAGCTGAAGTAACGAGTACTTCAGATGGATTAATTGGACAAAACTATTCACAAGTAAATATGAAAATTTAACAATGTGGATTGCCAGAGTATATTTATGAACTTGACTGCAATTGTGAAGGTTACCTGGAAACCTGTTATCTTTTTAATATGAGCCTTCTTCTTGTTTCGAATGGTAATCTGTTCTAACTGAGTTAATTTGCAACCTAGATCATCAATTAAAACGAGAATAATTATAATGATTTCATGCTGAGATAGTAAATTTAAACGAGAATAACCGTATACACATTTGAACCAAGAAGAGCAAACTATACCGTCAGTGCTGTACATTCGACAACTGCCCTTATGTGAACCAATTAAGGCACCCTTCAATGATGAAAACATATGCACAATTTAGAAAGGGGACCAGATTATCTTTGATGTATTTGAAAAAAAAAATCCATTTCATAAAAAATATTTAATCAGGTAAAAACAAACACAGTTACTGATCATGTTACAGATACGAACTCTGCTCAATTGATGCAATTTCACTGTGACTCCACTTAACTTCAAGGAAATGAGAGTTACAGAATATGTACAAGACTATGACATACGTTTGGTTAATATTTCAAATATTATTAAGCACCAAAAACACCTCTAATTAAAGAATTATACTATGAATGTTGTACCAGGATGAACAGTTTCAAGCAATCATTAAACAGCTAAAGTTACTTAGCAAGACCTGGCCATCAGGGGTGTAGCAGGCAGCTGTAACCATTTCATGAAGATCAGTCCAATCAACAACTTGCCGATCTGGTATGTTCCAAATTCTAACTTTTGCATCAAGTGACCCACTAATGAAATAATCGTCGTCCATAGGATTGAAATGTATGCAAGTTACTGCCAAAAAAAAAAAGCTATAATTTAGTAGGATTTTAGTTTAACAGATTGAACATGAACTTTAGTTGAAGGTGAAATGGAATGGTATCTTACCATAGTCATTGTGGGCAAATAACTTTAAACAGCTTTTGGTTTCCAGGTCCCATAACCTTACAGTTTTGTCCATTGAAGATGAAAGCAGTCGCTGCAAATCCATCAAGTCAACCTACAGGTTATATATAGATTAAATCTGTGGATAATATGTGACAAACATTAATGACATGTGGACCAATTGTTTGATTAGAAAAATAAAAATGACTCCATGATTTTTTCTTGATCTACTACATTGGCAAGAATTCTGAGAATCAGACCTGAGATCTAGACCAGGACAAGTCCAAAACATCATCCAAATGGCCCTTGAAAGAACAAAATGGTCTGTCTGATAGCGAAAACACGGTTTCTGGCACATGTACGTATTCAGGAATGTGGTTGCCTTTTTTACTAGATGAGCCCTTTCCCTTCTTCTTTTTCTCATGCAGATTACCTGCAGCTTCCAAAAGTCCTGATTGATCCTGGGACAAGGAGAGCGAAGGATGAAGTGGTGAACTAGCCAGGGATGGATGAAGTGGGGTTAAACACCCTGGTGTTAAACTCCCTTCATTCATGGACATAATCTCACATTCCTGAACTTCCCAAACATGAATTATCTTATCCTCACCAGCACTCGCTAAAAACCTCGTATCTGTACTAAACCTGATGGTCCAAATCGATCCCTCATGCGCTTGAATTTCTTGACATAAATGTAAAGCACTCAACTCCTTATAAGATTTCCCCGTTTGTCTAACTTTCACCCACTGATTCTTGACATTCCTTTGATCCATAGCTAACACGTTCTCCCTATCTTTCTCCCCCCTCAATGTCATAGAATTGGCCACCTCTTTTATACTTCTCAACATGGCTGCACCTCTTCTCTTGCTCATCCTTAAACTCTTGGAAAGATATGAATTGAACTTCCGTTGATTGGCAGGATAATTCATCATCCTGTTAACATTTTCTCGACGCATTAACTCCTTTACCATTGGTGAATACCCCAAACATTTCTCAAATTCCTCCATTGTCAACTGCTTCCCTGTTTGAAGATCACTCAGTTTGTTCCACATCCCATCTTGATCATACTCATTAACTATAAACTCTTTTCCTGTATCCAAATTCTTAATCAAGAAAAAAGCTCCGAACCTATTTTTCGAACCAACTGAGGTTAAACCACCGCTTTGCTTAATCGTAGGACTATTCCCTGAATCTTTAGGGGAAGCTCTAATGTTTTCCTGGTACGGATATGATTTTTCATGTTGGGTTGATATTAAAGAAGATGTTCTTGTGAGAATTTGCTTAGATATGGAACCAAGAAATTCCTCTTTTCTTTTCTTTTGAATTGAAAGTGACTCGATGTCACCATCAGACCTGGACCGTACGAACAGGAAGGGAAGCGGAGAGTGAGACAATTCCTGTTTCGGAGAATCTTTGTTGTTTTGTTGAGGCTGCGCTTTGGAAACACTTGTATCGGCCGCAGGAACTTCGGCTGTCGTCTGAACCTGACCGTTGGGGACATTGTTTGAGACGCCAGGTTTGAAACTAAGAAGTTCTCTGTTGGGAGATAAGCCCATGCCTTGGAAAAGCCGCTGTCTCCGCTCCTTAATGGACCCTGGAGACGCCATCCAGATATCGTAGTCAGGAGTCATTGGGGTTGCCGTCGTGGCAAAAGCTTGGAACTGTGGTGTGTGAACCGATGATACCGCGGAAGCGAAAGAAATGCGGCTGTCATCGAAATCTTCATCGTCATCATCAGAACCTGACGAAACACAATCGAGTGGCACGACGGAGGATATTCTATCGTTGGATTCAAAGAACTCGTCGTCATCGTCGCGTAGCCCATCCCAATTCATGGTCATAGTTTTTCTTCGCTCCTTTCTGTAAGCCTCCATTTTGGCACATTTGATAAACCAAAAACAAAACAAAAAAAACCCTTTGACGTTGAAACTTAGGTTTGATTCCAACACACTTTGTTCTTTGGGAAGGATGGGGAAGGAAAGAGAAAGAGGAATGATGGAAGAGAGGAAAAGAAGGGGAGGTTACCGTTTAGGAGTATGGGAAAGGAAGAGAAACGGTCAAATACGGTCATTTTGTTTGACAACCTGATCTCATATATATCTCCTCACGTCAGTAAGTTGGGGGGCCATTATGCTGGGCACATTCCCATTAACTTGTTTCCTAATTGGAGAATAATAATAATTGTTTGGCACAAGGCAATTTCAGCTTTAATTTGGTCTACTCAACACTCAACTCCAACTCTTCAAAATAGTTCATTATAAATAGAAAAACTAAACCAAACCAATAAAATTGAATGCTTTATTGATTGACCCCAAAGCTGTTGGAATGCACAGTGCGATTTGTAATGGCTTTGAATTGCGAAGGAGCACAGTGCGATTGGGCCTTGTCTTGAAGAAACCAAATGGATGGCTTTAGCCTTTAGTTATGTTCTGAGTTGGGTTTGAGTTTGGAAAGGTGTGTGATTTGTAATTTGATATTTTGGGCTTTCAGATCCCCCAGCTGCTTTACTTTCTCTACTTTTCTCTCGGATGCAAGAGGAAATCTAAATCTAGAATAAACTATTAATGAAAAAGAGAAAGAAGATTAAACTAAAATTAGAAACTTGAAACCAAAGATGGCAACTTCTGTTCTATTCCAAGTCTAGGAACAAATTCTAGCTCTTCTTTAAAGGAGCATAACATCTTGATCATTGAATACAAAAGAAGATGGGGTTCCTGCAAATAAAATATTGGAACTCTTCTATATATGCATAACCAATATCTCTTTTTCTTGGTCTGTACTTTTCTTATTGTCATCTTTCCATACTTTAACTTTACAGCAACATTATATCATAAGTTTCCTTAGACCAATTCCACCATGATGGAATAATGGAATTAACCAATAGAATAAGAAAATGGAACAATCGAAAGAAGAATAAAAACAAATAAAGAAGCAGATATATGTGATTTTTTATATGAATACAAAAAAATTTTTGTTACCAACGCTAGATTAATTAGTACTACTAGCAATTTAATATAAGTTGGTGAAACCATCATAGCTTCTCTTTTGTTCGAGCTTTCTTGACCTTGCGGTGTAAATCAGCTATAAGAGGCCTGGGAAACAAGGACTCGACCTGTTGCGAAAGATCGAGTTGCAGATTCGCTGCACCACCACTACTTGGGGTCGACGCTTTTCTCTTATTCGATGGGAGTGGCTTTGGTTTTTTTGGTGCAGGTGGGCATTGTTTCATCACTGGGATTTTCTGATCCAAAGTTGTTGGAGTTTTGAACCCATAATCATCATCATCGGTTGCCTTGAATTCTCCTAAAGAAATATTCTTCTTCTTTTCTCTCTCATTTGAAGCTGTAACGTTTCTTTCTCCTCCTTTTTTCTCTTCATGATCTCCAAGTGCATCTCGTTCTTGATGATCACCAGGCCTATCATGTGAAGAAGAAGTAGCTGTAGCTTGACACTCCTCCTGAAACTCCAAAGCGGGTCGTTTCAGAATATCAAATTCCATCCCTTCTTCATCACCTTTAACGAGGAACAACTCTGAATTCGACATGCTGAGAAGGGAAATCTGGCTGAATTCTGCGTACATGAAGATCAAACAACAAGAAAACGAGAAGGAAATATTGAGGTAGAGAAAGAATGGAATATAATCGTCAAATCACAGCTTTTTTCCCATGAACTCTATTATTTTAGATTTTCTTTCATTGTTTTTTTCTACACTTTTGGTGAGAGCCAGGGAAAAATGAGGAAGAAACAGTCTTCAGCAGGCAATAGGTTATAAAGAGAAAGAGTTCTTAGATTTTTGTGCATCGGATCCTTCGCCTCCTAGAGGTTGGCTTTGAAAGCTCCACATTCACCAACTGCCCTCTCTCAAATATAAGAATTTCAGGACTATAAATTAATAATAATATCTCTGTTTTGGCACATACTTTTCGAGTTTTCTTCTTAATTTTGTTTTTGTCCTACGGTTTCTACGAATTTTGATGTATCTATCCACGTGGTTTGCTATACAATGGGGACCAACGGGTCTTTGATATGATGATATTCATCGAACCTCATCATCTCATTGTATGATATTATAGGAAACTTACCTTAGATGCTTTGTTTATCCTGCAAGCAAGGGACCAACTAACTTTGACTTTGTTTTATTTTTTTATATGTATGCAATTTTCCTGTATGAAATCATTGTCAAATTTTTATATTTTTTTAGATTTGGATTTCAATTTTTCAATCATGAAAAATATAGGTTTGATCAATTGTCTTTATATCTCCCTACGCCACTCGTGTGGTATGAAAATATGTTGAATAAAATCCTACGTTGGTTTCAGTCAAACCAATAACGTAATACATGGGATTTTCTTTACCAACTCCCTCCCAAGGGATTTCTATGCAAATTTGATTTTAATACTTGTTTTTAGTTAGACAACTTAACCATTCTCTTGTAACATACACATAATTTGATTGATAATATCGATCAAACATGGTTTTACAAGTATAAATTAGTTGGATCAAACATGGTTTTTTCCCTTTTTTTGTGCAAAGATAACTGTATGCTGACCACTTGAACTTTGTTCTGAATCAAGCATCTGATCAGATTCAGGGTTTTAAAAGCAAATAAAATCAGTAACAGAAATGGTATATCTTGTAAACAACTGATTCAGCTAATTGACTGTATGCAGTTATCACTTGTTTTTCTTAAAAGGTCAAGAAAATTTTGCCTATTCATTTAATATTAGAGCCATCAATGCTACCCAATTATGTTAAAACTTGTTCATAGTTTTAACAAATAGGACCACTTCCTTTCAATACCCACAGTTGATTTCTTCATAAAAATTGAAAAACAGAAAGTTTGAAAAACAGCTGTTTATGACTGCCAATGAGGTTGTCTTGCTTTTTGGCATTGGCAGTGACACATAGAGAAATAGATTTGTGGTTTGTATTGGATACTCTCAGCTTTGGCAATGAGTCGGTTTCCATAATTTTATTGCGGTGGAGTAACTGATACGCAGTCTTTGGCGATTAGTAACTTTGGATTCCTTCCCCCCTGAAAATGGAAGGAGTTGAGATTTGGTAACCCTTCCATACTCAACTGACGACTATCACCAGCTCCATATCTGTTCATTATCGATTTGTTGTTTAATTCAGACCAGAAAAAGGCAAGAGCTAATACATTGTTATATACTCAACACAGTCCTGCACTGGAAACGAGGTTAATTGAGTTGGTAAAATTCAAATATTTCGTTTGTAAAGTTTTTGTTCGAGTTTCGTTGCTAAATAATTTGTAAATTTAATGTAAGTTTTCTATGAAACCTGTAATTTGCACTATCTTGAGATGATAAATTGAAGAGAAGAAAGTTGAAGCTTATCTCATGCTTTGAGTGCAAGCCTTGAGGAGCATGGTTTTCATCATCAGATTGTTTCCTGTTGCCACCCCACCCTTCCTTTGTTGATGTAATAATACTTATCCAATCAAATTCTGCCAGCATTGCAGCAAATGAGTATTGCTTCTTATGTGATTGGAGGATGTGAAAATGTTTATTAACAAGGGAGGTGAATTTCGCGGAGGATGGAACATTTTTGGGGTTTAGGGATTTAGGTAGATGTTGAAAACTAGTATAATAATGCCTGTTTAGCAGGAAAATAAGGGAAGAAACTGTTGAAACACGCACTCCCTGGTGTGGAATAATTGCATGTCAAAACACATGGATCATGATTTTGCCCCCATTGCCAACCATCATGCATGTCCAATGCCCACAATCATCTCTTCCAATTTCAACTCCCTCTTGCTTTTTCTTTAACAATCCAACCCCACAAATCTCCATTTCAAGTTTGGTTTTACTTTCTTAACATCCCCTCTCCTATTAAGGCTGTCATTTGACACCCAAGACCCAACTATCTGTATTTTAGGACCACCCCTAGCAAATCAGAACATTAAAAATTTTGGGGGTTTTGCATGTGACTACTTTATTTTATTGATTCTTTATGCGTGTGTTTTCGGGGGAAAAGGTTGGACAGAAGGTTGGCGTTTGTGGTGGAGAGATTAGATCAAAGAAAAGTGCTGTCAAGTACACCTAGAGAGGGATTCATTCATTGCCCCCAAGAGAGTTCCTTAAACCAAATTTTGCTACCAGTCGAATCATTAACCAAATTTCGAATTCCAAACCTTGGGTTGTTCAGTTTATTCAGCTGAGATTCTTTGCATTTGAATTGAAAAGTACTGTCAAAAGAAAAAGAAAGAAAGGGCTAGCTATTACTGGCACTACACCTAAAACCATTACTGCTAGCAAATTTCATCAGTGTATCATGTGTGGGATGGTACATTCACATGAAACTTCTAGCGCTGGTCACTTTTACTCACATATGACAATGCTTAATCAATACAGGAAATGATAGGTCCTGGACAAGGAACATGGGAAGAATGGCTTAGGGGAGTTAATTAACCAAACAATTACCCTGGTAACATTTCAATTACTGAGCTGAAAGAAAGTTCTTTCGGCTTCTGCAGGGTGATGACTGCAGAAGAGTAAATATGTCCTTGGAATTGGGTGACACCTTAGCTGTAAACAGTAAGTTTTTGGATGAAAATTGTATGAAAGCTGTCACCTCCTCCATCTACACAGAAAGGACAAGTTAAGTTTTGAACTTTGAAGTTAAAGAATTTCGTACAGACTATGTATAGTTTTACCAGAGTACTTCAAACCAAACAACAACTTTTTGACAGAAACAAGATTTGCAGCTTCTGGCTTGGTTTCAAGCAAGTTTGTATATATCACAGCTTACATCACAACAAACCCTTTTGAATTTGATCGACTGTTCCACTGTGTAAACCATAGAAGTATGTATAAATGAAGTAGAGATTAGTATGTACGTATTTGGGTCCAGATACTCTGCTGTCAGGTGCATAGATTCCCTTACTTTTGGAAGATGCCTTAGCCAAATTGCCAGTTGGGTTTTTTTGTTTCGGACCCTTTTCTTTGATGCTGTCCACTATGTTCTGTCTCGTCTCTCTTGTTAGTGATATTGGCATCGGCATGTCAGGATTTCCAACGCACCCATGTAACCTGTTAGGCAACCTTTTATCATCATGAATTACACTTCTAAGAAGATTTTGATCCCTTTTTTTTTTCTTTGAAAAAAATTATTTCTTTTGGGTGTATCAATCACATCCTCATCTAAAAGTCAGAAACCGATAATGGTGGGGGCATTCCCCAAATTTCAGTTTCCATGTGGGTCACCATTGAAAAGCAGCTTTTGGGTTGACTCATAACTTGATCATGGTGAATCATAGAGCTGAAACCGGCCATGCCGTGGGAAACAGGAATAACAGACTTTTTCGAATCAAAGACAGGAAATAAATTCAACATTGGATTCTAAAAGAGTTTTAATTCTCTTACATAATCTAACTCTATCTTGGGCAAAAACCTGGTAACAAGATCCGTTGATAATTTGGGGATTTATCTATTTTTCTTAAAAATTGAATTCTCACACAGTTAAAATTCTATCTTCAGCAATTGAAATTTCTTTATTTTCCAATTTTTCAAAGGCCTTGGTTTCTTTTTGTACCAAAATTTATTTGACGCATTACTTTTATCAAATTAAAAAAAAATAATTAATTTATTTTTTTTATATAAATATCATCTTAACAAATGCTTGGTATCATTCTTTAACATTTTGATTTTCCAATATTTGCCAAATTTATACATATCCAAGCAAAAAGCATAGTAGAAATTGGGAAAACAAAGTGAAAAATATTTAAACAGAGCTTGACAGGCAACCACCCTCCTTCAAAGCTGACTGGCTGATCTGCCTGATTTATGGTTATTAAATCGTTGGGTGAGAGGATGGATCAATACTATTGACACTTAGGTGAGAAAATTTTATTTAAAAATTTAAAGTTAATTAAAAATAATAATATTTGATTTGATTTTGATTAATTTTTTTATTTTTTAAAAATAACTCATTATAATTACATTTCATATCACATAATAATTATATATTATTTATGTCAATATTTAAATATTATATTAATATTATTAGATTTAAAAATTAAAACAACTTAATATTCAAAAATAAAATTTAGATATTTAATTAAAAAATATTTTTATTTAAATATCATATTAAAAAAAATTATAATTGTTCAGAGTCAATAGCGATATTATCCCGAAAAAGAAATGAAAATAAAACAAATGGTTTGAAATTCGTGAGATACCGAATAAACTGCACATTTAATAATAATTTTTTTTTTTCGAAAAACGAACAAACTGTCCCTTTTTTTTTTCTTGTTTTATTTTTGTTTATTCTTTCCATTTTTGAAACAACTTGAGGCTCTAAAGGCGGGTAGTGGCTGAGAAGACAACCTCAAAGAACGCGAAATCTCGGAAACCTTTTTTTCATAATCGTCGATCGATTCTAGGTTCTTCTTTTTCGATGTTGATTTTGTCATTCTAGATTATTGTTTTTTTCCCCTTTTGGAGCTTGTCATTTCGATCTCTAACAATGTTTTCTTGATCTGTCATTTTCTTCTGTTAAATCATGTTCTTATTATGTAATTACTGCTACTTGTCATGTTTTCTTACTATTTTTTGGCTGTTGGTTTGGACATTATATAGATTCAAAATGCAATGTTAATTTGCTATAATGAGCTATTGATGATGCTTTAAAATGTTACTCCATTTTTCGTTTCTGAATTGAAATGTTGGTTGAATTGCAAGATGTGGGGGTATTAGTGATTGAATTTTTAAGAAGTTTGTTTCAGATCGATCTATGATGTTGTTAGATGTGATTTCTATTTTGAAATAATCTGTATCTACTACTGTTGTTAATGCTGTTGTTTCTCTTCCAGGTTGTAGAAGATGGCTGATGGTGAGGACATTCAACCCCTTGTCTGCGATAATGGAACGGGAATGGTTAAGGTGGTAGACTGGATTCTATATCATTTAAATGCTATTCCAATAAGTTTTTGTAACT